AGAAACCACTGGCCTTCCACGAAAAGAGGCTGAAGGGGCAGGACACATAGATGCCACACAGGTCCTGCACCGGGTCCTGGCCTGGAGGATGCTGTGGGGACAGTTGAGGGACGTGAATACGTATGGAACCTTCTGGTAATGGTATAGCATCAATGCTGAGTTTCCTGAATGGCTAGCTGTGCTATGGTCACACGTGAGCAAACCCTTTTCTTAGGAGATACGCCTGAGGTGTCAGGGGGCAAAGGGCCATCACGACCGCATGACACAGTGAGCTCCCGATTGGAGCAAAATGGTTAACAACAGCTGAATCAGAAGGAAGGGCATTCAGGTGTTCTTTGCACTCATCTTGCAACTTTTCTGAAAGTTTGAAATGATCTTAAAGTAGAAAACTCAAAAAAAATAAAGGCCCAGGTCGGAGTTTGTACTCTAGGGCTCACCCACATGCTCCTTGCTCCACACGGGCTTTTAAAGAATGGGAATTTCTCGCTAACAGTGAAACACTGGGAGATTGTACATGAAATGTGGGTTCTGGCCCCCTCCACACTGTGAACGTCGCAGCCACACCAGGGCCGGGGGGCTTCTGCGGGCAGCAGTGAGAAACAGTCAGGCTCTTGCTTTGGTGTCTGTGCTCTCCCTGCTGACCCCATGCAGGGGTACCTTGTGACTCTGAACATTCTACTCTGCCTGGTCTGTGTCCGCCTGCCTGTCCATCCTGGGAGATGAGCTCTGGGCCTTTGGGATTTTCTTTGTGCTCTGAGGCCTGGCACATCCGAGTCTTTCCAAAGGCTGGTCTGTCCCCATTTGTCAGATGGGGAGACTGAGGACCTGACAGGCAGAGGTCACGGCTGGAGCCAACAGAGGTCTGGGACCTAGGTGTTCTGCCTCCAAATGTTATGCTTGTTCCACACCACACAGCCCCTCGCAGCAGTACCGTTTACAAAGGACAGTGACATCCATCCATGCATGGGGTCCCCACAACAGCCCTGTGGGGTAGGCAGGGGGGAAGGGCACCCCCCCCAGCAACTCCTCCACTGCACAGACACCAACATGGGAGCTCAGGGAGGTGAATGGACATGTCCGGTCACAGGCTGGGCATGGTTGGGCCAACTGTTCCCAGCGCCAGGGTGTTCTTTGCCTTCCTGTAGGCTGCACCAGTGTGCCGACACCCCGAGGGGGTTTCTGCACTACCATGAGGACCCTGCAGGGGCCCCTAGCCAGGTCCCTCTGTCTTCCCCGGGGGGCCATTCAACTGGAAGGCCCAGCAAGGCCTCCCAGCACAGGGAAAGGGTCCGAGGTCTCTGTCATGCACAAAAATGAGCATCCAGATGGCAGTTATCCAGAGTTCAGAGCACTAGGGAAGAGAACGATCAAGGAAACCCCCCCGGAGGAGGCAGGCTCATGCAGGCTGAAGGTGGGGAGGAGCTGGATGGGGGAAGCTCAGAGAGGGGGAAGGGGAGATATTCAAGATGAGAAAAGAGAGGGGGGAAACGGACACTGCACAACCTCATCAGCTGGGGTCACCCCATTTTACAAGCGAGGAAGTAGAGGCTCAGATAGGGTAAAAAGCTTGTCCAGGGTCTCCCAGCAAATGAGGGCAGTAGGGATTTGAACCCAGACCTGTTTCACCCCCCCAAATCCAGGCTCCATCTGAGGAATGGGGAGGGAGCCAGTCTGTTGTGGGCATCCATCTGCTAGCACTGGGCTAGGGAGGGGCTCCCCCTACATCATACCCCAGGGCATCCCTACTGTCCTCACAGGTCAAGAGAAGGGGTGTGACATGCCCAAGGCCACACAGTGAGTTCACTCCCAAGCCCAGATCTGCCTCGGTCTAGCCCAACCCAGCCTTTTCTATAATAGCCTTAGCCTCCCTCTCTCTAGAAGATAGTGCTGGAGCCCCTACAGTGTGCAGGGCCCAGGGATGGAGCTCCTGGTGCTTTACGCTCAGGGCTCCCAGCTGCTGGACGGGTCTGGGTGAGAGGACCCATGGACAAGTGCATCGCAATGATGATGGTGTCTGTCCATCTGCATATGGCCAAGGCTGGACGGGGCCCATACAAGTGAGACCAGTAGATCTCTTTGGGAGGCAGGACTGGATGCATTTAACTCTTTACTTTATCTGAGATGGTTTGCACTCAGCCAAACTCAGTCTACATTAGGGGGCTGTGCTCGAATGGGCCAAGCACAGTGTGGGGGTCATGGGGTGAAATGTGTGTCCCAAGCCGTCTGGGGGTGACTGCCCAAGGGCAGTGGTGGGCAGAGAAGGCTTCTTGGAGGAGGTGGGGCCTGAGCAGATGGACAGGAGTTAAATGTGTAACAAGGAAGGGAGAGGGCCATCTAGGAGGAGGGAGCAGCCTCAGCAGGGGCAGGGTGGAGGGAACAAAGATGCATCTGCAGCAGAGGTACAGGGTGAGGGTGGGTATGATGAATCTGTGACTTGCGTGCCTAGGAGGGCATTGAGTGCACTGGCCATCCAGGGCTTGGGTCTACCTTACAACACCCCCAGCACCCCACAGCCTGTCGAGGCTCTGCTCTCACACCATCAGTGACCGGGAACTCATTACCTTTTGGCAGCCTTTTTGTCCTAGAATGGTTCTATTATAGAATTCTTCTCTTTCCAATTAGACTGCCTTCTGTTGGGCTGACTCTACCCCCTTCTCCCCGCCCCCCACCCTTCTCCAGGAGCTGGGGCTAAGCCACCTGCCCCTCCCAGCCCCATGCAATTGTGCTTTTGAATGCCAGTGCTGCAGTTCACAGCCAAGGATCACTTTAAGTCTAGCTCACACTGCACTCTGGCGATCTTGGTGGGTCCTGCCTCTTGCTTTCTTTTTGCCATCCTCCCTGCACTCATGGTCTCTGCAAAGTTGGTGGGCACACTTTCCATACTGAAACAGGACAAAGCTCCAGGGAAGGCCACTGGATTACCAGCAATCCAAGAATCAGCACAAACCCACCAGAGTCTCCTAGCTTCTAGCACATCCTGTTCTCTTTTGCCCACCCGGACATCTCAGGAGACCCTGGCTGTTGTCTCCTGACATCCAGAGGCCCGGGGTCCATACTATTTACCTGGGCTTCCAGCTAGAAGTGTAGGTAAAGACCAAAAAAGTTGGTTTGACTTGGGCTGGCTAGCTGACTTCCCATCCATCTCTGCCCCGTCTGAGTCTTTTCCAGAGTCTCCTTGCCCCTGTGCCCATCTCCTTGGCTGGTCTGGGATACACCGAATCAGTGATTCTGAACATTTTCTTTCCTCAGCCTCCTGCAAGGAACCTACCCCTCCTCTCCCTTCTCCAAACTGTCTGGAACCTTTGTCACCCATCCATTTAGGCTCAGTGCCTCCACCTGACTTCCACCGATCCAGATGACCCACCAGACCACTTCTCCCAGGGACAATTGCCTCTCTGCCAAGTCCTTCAGCTCAGAGGTCAGAACCAGGGCCACGGAGCCATGACCATTTACAGAACCCTCATGAGGCCCAATGTTCCAAGAAGGCATTCAAATCTTTCTATGATCTCTTAGACCCCAGAGCCTCCATTATATTTCATTATAATGGTTTAATGTCTTCATCTGAATATTTGAAATTTACATATCTGCGTTCTTGTTCCTTTATTGTCTGTTTCTTTTTACAAGGTTCTAAGCTCCAGGATGGCAGGAACCTTATTTGTCCCACCAATCACTGGCACACAGTAGCTACTTAATAAATGTTGGTCAAATAAGTTCTGGATAAATAAATGCCCCAGTGCTGATTCTCATTTCTTTCTACCATCCTACCCTGCAGACCTGTTGATCTTTTTCTTTGTATTGCAAGGACATCCCATATTCCTTCAGGCCTCTGTGTCTTTGCACACTTTTGCCTCTGCTAAGAGGCCCTTTCTCCACACCTCTGGTGAGCTCCTACTCACCCTTTAAAACCCCGCTCAATTCCACTTTGGGGAGTTCTGTTCCTTTCTTGGCTTTCTCACCTCTTCCTCACTCCTCTACTGTGGAATTAGCTGTTTGCAGGTCTGCTCCCCTCAGCCTCTGTGGGCTGGGGGCTCTCAAGGTCAGGGGGAGGCTCTGAGTCATCATGGGTCCAGTGCTCAGCACAGGGCCTGTCCCAGAACAGCTGCTCAGGGGATGTTTGCTGAGCAGTGCTGGACAAGGAGGCCCTTTGTGTGTCTCTGTTAGGGGGGTGTCTCATCCAGCTGGGGCCTCACATCTCCAAGGCCTTTCTGCCTCCTCTCTTTCCCCTGCAACAGCCAGAGGGAGATTTAAAAAATGTAAATGTGACCAGTTCACTGCTGAAAACTATTTCAGACGATCCTCATCACGCTTAGAAAATTTCCAAACTCCTGACCATGGCCCACGAGACCTGACATCTGGGCCCTCCACCCTCTCCATTTTCCTCACAATCTTCCTGCTTCAGGGCCTTTGTACTTGTTGTTCCCTCTGCCTGGTACATGTTTCCCCCCAAAAGCCACAAAGCCAGCTCTCTCTCCTCATTCACCACGCAACTCAAACATGGCCTCCTCTGACCTCCCCAGCCACCTGCCTTCCGTTGTTTTGCTTTATTTCCGTCATATACCTACCATCCTCTGGGGTCTTTGCAATGTCCGTCTCTTCTCACTACACCGCAAGCTTCTCCGGGCAGTGATCTCATCAACCTCCCTCCCTGCTGTATCCCCAGCACCCAGCCCAGTGCCTGGCACATGGCAAGTATCTAAAGTAATCATCACCTGATGGATTCTTTCCTATCCCTGATAAGAACAGGCTTACTAGAAAGTAAGTTCCGTGAGGGCAGGGATTCTTTGTCAATTTTATTTACTGTACTGTCCTCAGGGCCTGGCGCAATGCTGAGTGCACAGTAGGCTCAAAGTACATTTGTTGGGGGAAAGGGTCTGGAGCCAAGGAACAAAGTCTCTGAGAACTTCCAGCCTCATGATGGGGACACAGGTGCCCCTCCACCCCGGAAGCATAGAGGCAGGAACCGGCAATGGGAGTGAGCTCACCGTTGGGCCACATCTCACCTGATAGCAACATGGGATCCTTGTCCACGGACTTGCGCACCTGGTCAGACTCCCCCGTCAGGGAGCTTTCATCAATCTTGAGGTCGTTGCCCTGGATGAAGAGGCCATCAGCAGGGAGGAGGTCACCTGGTGGGAGGAAGGGCAACAGAGTCAGCAGGGTGTCAGGTGGCTGGAGGGTCTTGGAACATTCCCTTAAAGGTGATTGCAAGGTCAAGCTCACCATTGGGCACCTGCTGCCTCGAGCTCCCAGGGTGTGGGAACTAAGATGGTGCCCATCACAGGCAATAGGCAGCTGAAGCCTGGAGCCAAGAGGAATGGCACAAGGCCTGGAGGAGTGAGGCTGGGCCCAAGAACAATCCTAGCTTGAGTGGGCATGTACTTCTGTTTATAAAGTGCTTCTCTTGGCCTGGTGTGGATTTGGGGTCCAGTTTTCTCAATGATTCATGCTTCTCTGGTCTCACCTATGGTTAGGGAAATCATTTTGGAAGGGACGAGTCTGTCCTGACTATGCTGAGGGGACCTGAAGACAGGCACATTATCAGAGGAAACCAAGCTCCCTAAGGTGGAATGAAGAGGGCACTGCAATCTCTCCCCCATCTTCCGCCTCTGCTTACCCAGGACATATCTTGCCTACACCCCGTTTGGCACCAGCCAGCCTGACCACTTCTTCCATGGCAGCATCACAGGCCTAGAATGTTTGTTCACCCACATCCACTCCCTATGACACCTTCTCTAGCCCAACAACCATCCATCAATAGCCCAATCAGATGTAGGAAATGGATTTCACCTCATAAACGCATTCTGAGTGTTAGTGGTCCTTGCAGTATTGTGTTGAGAAGACTTCTGTATCTAGGCTCTGAGCTGTGATTGATTAGTAATGTCTGTTACAGGTGCAGGTTGTGAGAATGGTAGCACATGTGCTCTGTATTTGCCATTTCTGACTTTAAATGGATTCTGGAATCCTACCTCCTCTAGGAAGTAGCCTTTTACTTCCCAAAGGATCTCAGAAGACATCCTGGCTCAGGATTAGCCTTCAGGGACCGGACCCCTTCCCTGGGCCAGCCTCTCTGGGTCTGCCTGTCCTGTCCCACCTCTGCCCAGACTCTAGCTCTAGCACCTGGCCCTGTGGCTGGGACACTCACCATATTTGACCTGGGCAATGTCCCCAACAACAATCTCGGCCACAGGGATCTGGACCACCTGGCCAGCCCGAACCACGGTGAACTTTTGCTCCTGCTCGATGCGGCTCTGCAGGCCCCGGAACTGTTTCTCTTTGCTCCAGTCATTGAAGGCCGTGACCAGGACCACACAGATGACCGAGAGGAGGATGGCCGCCCCCTCGATCCAGCCGGCCTCTGCCTCCCCTTCATCCTCTGCCCCACCCTGGGCCGTCGCACATCCTGCAGAGAGCAGAAGGAAGCAGGCAGAGTGGGGTCAGCCAGGCAGGAGGAGCATACAGGTCTGGATTTAAATCCCTGCTCTGCTGAGTAAAAAAATGTCAATAATTAGATGAGCATGATCCAATTTATTCAATGCATCTGGGTGGTAAGCTCTTTGGTTTCCTGCCTTTGTTCTAGGTGTGAGATCTTGGGCAAATGACTTCACCTTTTGAGCCTCAGTTTTCACCTCTGTAAAAAGGGACGAATATTCTTTGTCTGGGGGATCTATTGTGAGGGTTGAACTTCAATGAGGTGAGGTCCATGGCAGCTCCCAACATGGGGGAGAGGCCTGATTCATGAGAAAAGAGAAGTGAGGATGTAACAGAATGAAGGCGATCGGTACTGCAAGTGCTTTAGGGTCTAGAGGGCAGTTTTGCTGATGTGCTTTCCTTTCATGCTTCCAGCAACTGTGAGGCAGGTCTCCAGACAGAAGGCCCAGGGGGAAAGGGGGTGGGGGCAGGAACCACAGTGCCAGGCCTGATGTCCCACAGGCTGGTTCTAATCCTGCCACTGCCCCTGTACGATCCTGGGTAACTCACTGTCCTCCCTGAGCTGCAGTGTCCACCTTTGCAAAATGGGAGTCACTGAGACCTCCTTCCTGGTTCCGGGAGAAGACTGTGAATGCCCCAGCCAGAGCTCAGGGCATGGCAAGTATGAAGCACTCCCCCCTCCGCCAACACACACAGCGAGGACACCCACACTCCAGGCTGTGGGCTGCTTATCTGTCCTACAGTGACCCTGCCTCCCACACCCTTGCACTGTTGAGCCTCCCGGTCTGGTTCCCCAGGCTGCTTGAGGCCTGCCAGGCCCACCTTGTGAACAGAAAAAGAAAAGAGCAGACACATCTGGTACAAAAGCCTCAGGTCCTGTCCATGGGGTGCTGAGTCCTAGGGTCTCTCCAAACTCCTCCATGCACCCTGTCTCCTGCATCCCCACAAGGATCCGGGGGGGGGGGGAGATTTATTACCTCCACTTACAGATGAGAAAACTGAGGCTCAGAAAAGGGAGGGGACAGCCAAGGTGGGTGCTGCAGCCAGGACTAGCCCAGGCCCTTTTTCCCACCAGAAGGTGGTGAACAGCCTTCTCCATGGAAAGTGACCCTGAGCAGCATCCAACTATCCATCCCTGGAAAACTCAGAGAGGTTCCCTTTCAAGGCGGCTGGGCAGGGGACGGGACCATTCACAAATCACTTACACCAAGTATTCATTTTAATTCTCAAGCTGGCCAAGAGAAGTGATTCAGAGAGGGGTGGCTACTCACCTGGGGTCACACAGCAGATCTGGAGTTTGAATCCACACCTGGAATCTGACACTGGACATGGCCTGCCCACTGTCCCTGAGCCCAGTGGCCTCCTCTGCCATGTGCTGGCCTCACATTGCCAAAGGCCCATGGCTGACTGTCTGGAAGTCCAATTCAGTCCCAAGGAAGAGAGAACAGTTTTGGGAGACCCCAGCAAGAGCTTCTGGGAAGCCGGGGGTCAAAAGCAACATGACAAAAAGGCCAAGTGGTATCAGGGAATGTTTTCCAGCTCTCGGAGGAGTGGAGGTCAAGGCTAGCTGGTGGGCCTAAGCTTGGGATGGTCCAGAATGATGTGGCCCAGAAGTATGTGTCCCTGGAAAATTCCACGGCTTTCACTGAACCAGTCACTCCTTGCAGGCTAGTAAACAACCACTTCATTGCACAAGGTCCTCGATGCCACTCTGTCATTCTTTTAGAATTCCAGACTTTTCCAATAATTTTAAGTTGTTTAGCTGGACCAGCCTTTAGTGCTAATGATCATCATAGTTGTGCTAATGCTAACTGACATCAGACCAGCCTTGGGTTTGAATCCCAGCTGTGCTACTTCACTGCTGCACGCCTACGACCTAGCTACTTACCCATTGTGCCTCAGTTTTCTCATCTGCAAAATGGGGGTGAGGACAGGCACTCCCTCGTTGGTGGCTGAGAGGACAGAGGGAGCGCGTTTACATAAGGCACTCACCTCACTGAGCACACAGAGTGAAAGCTGCTGTTTTTTGTTGCCTGGTGTATGGGCTGCATAAATGCATTCAAGCTCCACAGCAAGCCTGGAAGGGAGCCTTGGGCATCCAGCTGGAGGTCAGCACCATGTGATGACCGGGGGAGGGGAACCAGGGTGCTCCTCCTTCATCACAAATGACACCAGTGGAAGCTCCAGAGACCGGGAAACTCAGGTGAACCTTGCTAAACAGACACCCAGTCCATGGAAATGTGCTCTTTTGGGCTTCAGGGGAGTGACTTGAGATGCAGAGCCCCAGCACTTTGCTTTATGGGACTTTTGTTACTCTCTGCCTCTGCTACATGCTTTGTAAATGGGAAGACTGTTGCGTGCTTCATTGATGCCCCCTCCCTCCCCCCCCCATTATAGATTACAGCAGTTACTGGAACATTTAGGACACTTAGAGATAGCCCAGGACCATGGAAAGCGTTTGGGGTCTGGAATTGTAAAGACCTGACTTCAAATCCAGGCTCTGCTGTGTGACCTTGGGTAAGTGACTTGGCTTCTCTGAGTCTGTTTGGACAGCTGTAACATGGGATGACTTTGTGAGCCCAGAGCCCAGTAAGGGCCTGGCATATATTGGATACACAATAAATATGAGTCTTCTCTCCATTTTCATGAGCTACTCTCCTTGGACTGGCTTCTAGAAACCAAGGGTATGGTGGTTGAGCAGGATTCACTCTGTTCCTCTGATCCCCAACCCTGCCTGTTGCTTTTGCCTATTCAATACCAAGGAGCCCTTTGGGTCCTTGAGGGCACCCTGCCAGCAAAAGCCCATTAGTTTTTACTTCCTTTTGAGGACTGTCTCATGGTCACACAGCACCTTGGGATGGCCAGAAAGTGGGGCTGTGGATTGCTGGCTTAGGCCTTCAGCTGCCAGGACCTGCTGGACCCTGGTAACAGCTCCTCTGCCCCTGGTGCAGTTGGGGAGAAGAGATAAGGAAGGGGAAGGAAGGGGACTCTGAGCAGGCCCCGTTGAGGTCTCCTCTGGGGGGCCCTTCAGACCGGGGCAGGGACAGGTTTTGAAGATTGTGGCTACAGGGTCTGGGGAGCCTGCAGCTGCTCTCTCTGGACCTGGGGATTTGTAGGGTTTGGCTTTTATCTGTCTGACCTCAGGGAACCTGCTGGGCCTCTCTGGGCCTATCTCTACTTGTCCATCAGTAAAATGGGGAATCTGCTTTCTAGATGGTGACTGGGGCCTGGCATCAAAGAAGGGTCCTCGAAAGACACAAAGAAATGGAAAAAACATTCCATGCTCATGGATTGGAAGAACAAATATTGTGATGATGTCAATGCTACCTAGAGCAATCTACACATTCAATGCAATCCCCATCAAAATACCATCCACTTTTTTCAAAGAAATGGAACAAATCATCCTAAAATTTGTATGGAACCAGAAAAGACCCCAAATAGCCAGAGGAATGTTGAAAAAGAAAAGCAAAGCTGGCGGCATCACAATTCTGGACTTCCAGCTTTATTACAAAGCTGTCATCATCAAGACAGCATGGTACTGGCACAAAAACAGACACATAGATCAATGGAACAAAAATAGAGAGCCCAGAAATGGACCCTCAACTCTATGGTCAACTAATCTTTGACAAAGCAGGAAAGAACGTCCAATGGAAAAAAGACAGTCTCTTCAACAAATGGTGTTGGGAAAATTGGACAGCCACATGAAGAAGAATGAAACTGGACCATTTCCTTATACCACACACAAAAATAGACTCCAAATGGTTGAAAGACCTAAATGTGAGACAGGAGTCCAACAAAATCCTAAAGGAGAACATAGGCAGCAACCTCTTCGACCTCAGCCGCAGCAACTTCTTCCTAGAAACATCGCCAAAGGCAAGGGAAGCAAGGGCAAAAATGAACTATTGGGACTTCATCAAGATAAAAGCTTTTGCACAGCAAAAGAAACAGTCAACAAAACCAAAAGACAACCGACAGAATGGGAGAAGATATTTGCAAATGACATATCAGATAAAGGGCTAGTATCCAAAATCTATAAAGAACTTATCAAACTCAACACTGAAAGAACAAATGATCCAATCAAGAAATGGGCAGAAGACATGAACAGACATTTTTCCAAAGAAGACATCCAAATGGCCAACAGACACATGAAAAAGTGCTCAACATCGCTCGGCATCAGGGAAATCCAAATCAAATCCTCAATGAGATACCACCTCACACCAGTCAGAATGGCTAAAATCAACAAGTCAGGAAACGACAGATGTTGGCGGGGATGCAGAGAAAGGGGAACCCTCCTACACTGTTGGTGGGAATGCAAGCTGGTGCAACCACTCTGGAAAACAGTATGGAGGTTTCTCAAAAAGTTGAAAATAGAGCTACCATACGATCCAGCAATTGCACTACTGGGTATTTACCCCAACGATACAAATGTAGGGACCCGAAGGGGTACATGCACCCCAATATTTATAGCAGCAATGTCCACAATAGCCAAACTGTGGAAAGAACCAAGATGTCCATCAACAGATGAATGGATAAAGAAGATGTGGTATATATACACACACACACACACACACACACACACACACAATGGAATATTATGCAGCCATCAAAAGGAATGAAATCTTGCCATTTGCAATGACGTGGATGGAACTGGAGGGTGTTATGCTGAGCGAAATAAGTCAATCAGAGAAAGACATGTATCATATGACCTCACTGATATGAGGAATTCTTAATCTCAGAAATAAACTGAGGGTTGCTGGAGTGGGTGGTGGTGTGGGAGCGATGGGGTGGCTGGGTGATAGACATTGGGGAGGGTATGTGCTATGGTGAGCGCTGTGAATTGTGCAAGACTGTTCAATCACAGATCTGTACCTCTGAAACAAATAATGCATTATATGTTAAGAGAAAAAAAAAGAAGATAGCAGGAGGGGAAGAATGAAGGGAGGAAATCGGAGGGGGACACGAACCATGAGATATGATGGACTCTGAAAAACAAACTGAGGGTTCTAGAGGGGAGGGGGGTGGGAGGATGGCTTAGCCTGGTGATGGGTATTAAAGAGGGCACGTTCTGCATGGAGCACAGGCTGTTGTGCACAAACAATGAATCATGGAACACTACATCAAAAACTAATGATGTAATGTATGGTGATTAACATAACAATAAAAAATTAAAAAAAAAAGTGCTGTAACTGGAAGAGACACAAACATCTTCCAAGCCCCTACTATGTGCCTGTCACTTGGCTGGCACTCTGACACTAGGGGACCTGTTAACGGGCAGGGAGTTGGGAGTATTGAGTGTGCTAATCCCAGCCGTGCCACGAACATGCTGTGTGATCTCTGAGAAGTATCTGGAGGTCTCTGAGCCAAGAAAGCAAACAGGAAAGGGCTGTGGGTGCGGCAAGGTTCTACAGCCTGTTAAGTCCATCACTAGCGTCATTCTGGATATGACTGATGAAGCTTGAGTCTGACTTGGCAGGGTGGTGGTCCTGGCAACATGGAAGGTCCAGAACTCAGAGCTCAGGCCGGGTCCTGGGCACTGGGGGGTATATATAGCCACAGAGAGCAGGAACTTCACTCCATGGGGCTGGAATATGTGCAGCTGCCCTCATCCACCCAGATCCTGGCCTGAGCTAGCGTCTCAGCTAGAGGCAGGGAGGGGCAGTGGAAAGCACCAGAAGACTTGGGTTTAAAATCCAGCCCTACTGCCTAACAAGCTGTGTGACCTTGGGCAAGTCCTTCCCCGTTCCGGGCCTTGGTTTCCACCTCTCTAGGATGGAAGAGGTTGCAGCCATCTGTTTGGAGGCCTGTCTGTGGGGAGGCTCCTCCTGGCATACACTAGGAGCTCGGTCCGTGCTCCCAATGCACCCCCTCCACCATCTGCCCTCTGACTTCTAATCTTGCACTAAACTGGGTCACAGGAAGCCACTTACCCGGTGGCACTGACTCAGTCCCATCTCTTCTGGAGAAAACGTAGCCGAAGGATGGGAGCGTGGGCTCAGAAGCCAGAATGTCTGGATCTGAGTCATGGTTCTGCTGCTTCCTAGAGTGTGACCTAGCAAGTCATTTACTGTCTCAGGGCCTTGGCTCCTGGATGATAACAGCACCTACCCATGGGTTGTTGGGAAGATGAAATGAATTTCTACTGTAAATGCTCCCAACTAGCGGTGGCTATAAAAATTGTAAGAAGAATTATCGTTATTATTATGCTTGTGTGTTGCACCCTTAGCTTAGTTCAAGGTTTTTTCAAATAGCCATGTATAATCTTCTTCTACATTTTCTATGAAATTCCTGCAAAGACTGCTTCCCAGTGTGCAGCTCTTATAATGTCCTAAGTGAAAGTTCATCCCAGAATTCACTGTCAGGGGGCATGTTATCTTCCTAAGAACACTTTTCCCTCCTTGTGGATAGCTTGAGCTATGCAAGTCATCCAATTCCCTTTCTGCCTTGGCTGCCAGTAAGCTCACAGTCAAATTTACATCTCAGTCATAGTAGCAAGTATAGTTGGTTCATTTGCTTCCATTCTTTTCCTGTCTGACTTCCTATTTGACTTCATCTTGTGAGATGTGTCCTTCTTGTGTCTTTAAAGCCTCTCTGGAAAGAGGTTATGCAGGATAAAAAGCAACTTAGTAATATTACTTATAAAATTGAGGTAGTTGGCCTAATAGACTTATCTCATTTCTTGGGCAGCTCAGGCTTGAGAGAGGGTGAGGGGCCAATGTTCAAGGAATTTCAGAGACCACCTCCTCGTCTGGGGAAATGAGGCCCATGATGGTTATTTCTTCTAAGCTATTCACTTTTTATTTGCTTGCTTGAAGTAATGAACATAGTAGGATTATCTCTTTACACAGTGCATTCATTAGGAAAATGCTGAATCATAATTAATAACAAGTGTTTATAATATCCTACTAATGAAAAATCACATTATAAAAACCTAACAAAACAATATATCTTGTATGATCCCATTTATTCCATAGTATGTCTCTCTGTCTCTCTCGTGTGACATAGGTTTGAAAGACTTTGCCATCGTAAAAGAAAGAGTCAATGAGCTGATAAAGTCCTAGCCCTTAGCAGGTGCTTGGTTTCTGGAATAAAAGGATGAGGGAAAGTTGAGGTTTTCCATTAGGAGTCCTAAGTTCTGACTTTGAGAAGTGTGGGTCTGCTCCAGAGCCCTCTCTGGATGAATGGGACACTGCTTCCTCGCTCCACAGAGCAGTGTCTCCATTCAGAACGCAGGGACACATTTTGGGAGGCCCTCCCAAGACCGGGACTCCTCACATGGGAAAACATACTCAGCATCAGCCCCACGAGTGTGTGCATGATACTGAACCAACCCTGGGATGGGACCGTGAAAGAGGAGGGGCAGCACGGATACTGAGTCCTCATGCAACCTGCAAAGGATGCAATCCAAGAAGGACCCTGGGAGGAGGAAGGCTGGGGCAGCCACACCCATGGCGGGAGCAGATCCAGCACCCACTCAGTGACCTTGAGCGAGTAACGCGCTTCTCTGACCTTGTTTTTCTCATCTTTAAAATGGGCATAATCATGGCCCTTACCTCATGGGGTTTTAGGAGGATGGTATCTCAGCCCAGAGCTCGACACACTGTAAGTGCTCAATAAATGCTCATTGTAGTTATTCCCACTGTTGGTGCAATCCTTGCGTCTCACACATGGGAAAACTGGGGGCCGGGGGCTGTGGCTGAGGCCCTGCCCCCTGGGCCTCGGTTCCTTCACCCGGGTGCCCTGAGGTGTGGCCGCGCTGCTTGTTGCAGCATGGGGAGCGGGGGTCTTACCTTCATTGCTCTCGCCAGGTGGGTGGTAAAAGGACAGCCCCAGGGAGATGATGGCCGCGATTTCCAGAATGATCAGTGTCACGTCTTGCAGTGCCTCCCACACCAGCTGCAGGAAGGTTTTTGGCTTCTTTGGAGGTATAAAGTTTTGCCCGAAAATCTGCTTTCTCTTTTCCAGATCTGGAGCAGTGCCCGGCAAACCTGTGGACAGAGTGCAGAAAGGTTGGCCTGGGAGGCCTGGAGGAGATGCTCGGGTTCCCGGGAATTGTCCCGAAGGGGGCCAGCCCCGTGGTGAAGCACAGAGAGGGGGAAACACAAAGCAGGAAACTTGCAGGCACCAGCCAGGAGCCCGGCGCCCAACACTCGCTTCCAGCCCACAGTGGGCTCCTGTGAAATGCCAGAGACACCATGTGGTGGGGTGAATAGTGACCCCCTCAAATGATATGCCCACATCCTAATCCCTGGAAAGTGTGACTATGACCTTCATTAGGAAAACGGTCTTTGCTGACATCATTAAGTTAAGGATCTTGGGATGAGATCACCCTGGATTATGCAGGGGGGCCCTAGAACTAATGACAAGTGTCCTTTTAAGAGACAGAGGGAGAAGACCCAGACCCAGAGGGCACAGGCCATGTGAAGACGGAGGTAGAGATGGTAGGAGGCAGCCACGAGCCAAGCAATGCCAGACGACGAAGAAGCCCAAAGAAGCAAGGACGGGAATGTCCTCTAGAGCCTTTGAAGGCAGCACAGCCCTGCTGACACCGGATTTCCAGACTTCTGGTCTCCGGAACCGTGAGAGAATAAAGTGCTCTTGCTCAAAGCCACCCAGTTTGTGGTCACTTGTTATGGCGGCCACAGGAAGCAAATACACACCACCAGGCCCACCTTGCACCGCATCCTTTCTCCTCCTGCCCTGCCCGTTGAGCACAGACTCGGAAACCTCTGCCTGGTTTGAACCCCAGCCTGTGCCTCCAGCTCTCTGAGCCTCAGTGGCCTCCTCTGCGATGGGGATGGTGACTGCAGCTAGCCCACGAGTGGTCGTGAGCATCTCATGAGAAAATCCACGAGGTCGGTGTTTGTTGAGCACCTACTATGTGCCCAGCACTGTTCAGACACTGGGATAGAGCAGTGAGAGAGACAGGCAGAGCGCCCTCCTGGGGGACATGGCCTCCCAGTGGACACATGTGCCATGCTCAAGTGGTGCCTGGGGGTGGCAGATGCTCGATCGCTGCTTCCAACCCCCCGTTTCTTCACTTCCAGATAATTCTCCCTGCCTCACCAATCTGATCCTCACTCCCTGCTCAGCAACTTTTGGAGGCTCCTCACTGCCTCCAGAATAAAGTCCACGTTCCCCAGCCTGGTGCTCCGGCCTCTTGATCTGACCCCCAAGCCATGTGTGTAGCCGCATTTCCACTATGTGGCCCACCCCTGGCCAAACCAGGCCAGTCCTCTGCTGGCCTGGCTTGTGCGTGCCTCCTGCCACACATTTGGTCAGGTGCGACCTTCCCTTGCCCTCCGCCCAGCTCCGTTTGCCTGTCTGTAAGTACTCTCCCACACTCATTGGCGCCAAGGTGTGAATAACCAAAACCCTGGCCAATCACCCTGGGTGCCTTTGTGCCTTAGAACAGGAGCCTGCAAGATCAACCCGTCATGGTGGGATTCGGGTGTGTGACAGAGAGGGGCCAGCCTCACTGTCTACTGGGCCCCTCCGGAGGCCAGCACTTCTCCTTGCTTCTCTCCCTCCTATGATGCTACCCTGTATCACCCCAAGTCACTGGTGTCACCCTTACTCTTTCCACAAGCGCCCTGGCACCTTCCTGCCTTGCTTATGCTGTTCAGAGAGCCACGAAGAGGCATGCCTTCCAACTTCTAGGGATGAGATCACCCTCTGCGGACAAGCACTCTCCTCCACCGCAAGCGGACATCAGCTCCCTGCCCTCGCCCCTAGGTGGCCTTCAGCAGCAGGGCTGACCTGGTCACTGGATCTGTGTCCCTCCTGGGCCATGGTGCCTTGGGGGCAAAGACTGGTCTGCTTCCTGTCCCTCAGGTCCTGGTGCTAAAGCCACCAACTACCTTAGAATCCTCTTACCCACTGAATGCAGGTGACATGCCCAAGTGTTCTGAGCCTGACATGGGGTGTCATCACAAGGAACGCAGCACAAATGGGCCCCCACAGGTGGGCAGTGTCAGTCCTGTCCCTGAGGCCAGCCTAATCCCAGCTCACCTGTGGCTTAATGAGGATAGCTGGAGGGTGGGCATGGAGGGGTGGGGGGGGAGGCACACCCCCATCAGACTTCTAGCCTCAGTCTATGCCAGAGAAGGGCGAATCCGGAGGGATCCCCAGAACAACAACAACAAAAAAACCATTTCATTTTTATTTATTTATTAGAGAGAGAGAGAGAGAGAACATGAGCAGGGGGAGGGGCAGAGGGAGAAGTAGACCCCCCGCTGAGCAGGGAGCCCGATGCTGGGGCTCAATCCCAGGACCCTGGGATCATGACCCAAGCCGAAGGCAGATGCTTAACGACTGAGCCACCTGGGTGCCCCGAGGGTCTGGTGGTTTAATATCATATAGTCCTAGAGTTCTAACAGTCATTCGTTAGCTCATCCATCCATCCATTCATTCAAACTGTGTTTCTCAGGCCTCCACGGTGGGCCCAGCCTGGTGCTGGGTGCTGCGTGATGGGGAGAGTGATGTGAAGGGAATAGCCCAGAAGCTCATGGACATAAGATTTCAGTGGTCCTGGGAGTCCAATAGCCTATGGTCAGGGGTCCAGCGAGGCAGGCATGTCCCCTGTCTGGGCTCTAGGCACTGAACCTCCTCAGATGCTAATAGTAAGACCTCCGTTGGGAGCCTCCAAGAGCCAGCCTGGCTGAGACCCTGTGGGAAAGCCTGGGGGGGCGTGGCGTGTTCCAGGGGAGACCTCACACCAGCCTAGCAGTACAGATAAACTCTGGAGATCCAATGTCCTGCCTGTGCAGTAAGGATGAGGGATCCTAGAGCTAGGTTATGCCCATTTTATAGATGGGAAAACTGAGGCTGTCATGAGACCAGTCTGCTGTGTTGGAGCAGCTTCTGGGCCCTGAGAACTCAAGTCAGCCCTGTCCTAAGCACATGGCAGTGTCGCCTCTATGCTGGTGGCCTTCCGGGCTATCCACATAGAAAGCAAGCAGGCATGATGTAGTGTGACTCTAGGAACTCTGGGAAGGTTCCTTGTCTTCCTGCCTTGTTCAGTTCTACCCAGAGTCAACATTTGAAATTATTCCACTTGGGCCTCATTCCTTTAAATAAAAGCTCCAATTCCTTTAGATTCCCTGGAAGAGGGGAGCCATCATCAGTTCTGGTCACCATAGTGTGAATGAGTTTTAGGCTTTTTCCTGGGAGTGGGTTTTGATAAACGGAAGAAGGGAGAACTGGGGAGAATGGTGGGCCTCTGAAGAAAGGGGCAATGACTAGTCACCTCTGGCCTGTTATGGCAGTTTGCTGGGCTTTGACTAGTCAGTTCCTTTCTCTGAGCCTCAGTTTCCCCATCTTGATAATAGGGGAGTTCAATAGGATCGGTGGGCCCTGAGGATCCCAGGGGTTCTAAGGTTTACAGGTCCTGAAGTGGTCCTGCTGTGGTCTGTTCACATCTGGGGGCTCTTTATAAGTTTGGTAAACAAGGGCTTCACTTAGAAGAAGCTCAGCAAGGCTGGGGCCAGCCTATCTCCTGGGCCCATCCTGATTGATTCAGAGAGAGGTGAGTCTTCTGAAGGTCTGTGATTCAAATGTTCTGGAGTCTACAGGGTGACCAGTTGAAAATGTGGGTGTTCTTCAGTTCTGGGAGTTGGTCATGGTTCAGGGGTTCTGTCATCTGGGGATTGAGATCCTGGGTCCTGGGACAGAGCATAGGGCAGGGGTTGCAAATCTGCATAGCTGGGGGATCGAGCAGCTTTTGTGAATGCGTGAAGTAGGTGGGTGGGAGGCAACAGGGTGTAGTGGTGACTGGGGCAAAGTGAAGAATCTCAGCCCCTCTAAAGGGGGCAGTTAGTTCTTAGCTCCTGTGGGAGAATGTGGACCCAGTGTGGCAGATCTTCCAGTCTTCCAAGAGAAGCTGGACACCTGGAATTTGATGTAAAATCTCCCCATTAGAAATAGTCCAGGGCCAGATAAAACAGAGCTCTGAGCTAGATTCAGCCCTGGGTTGCTGGTGTAAGACCCTCAAAGCTATGGGCTGGAGAACAGGGAGGAGTGGGGAGGGGTCAGAGTAGAACAGCCTCCCTGTCTCTTCCTCCTCTTTTCTGGGGTTCCCCCTCCCCAGCACCATGCTTTGCCCTGCTCCCCACAGGTTCTGAGATCCCCTCTGTTTTTCGAAATAACAGCTCACAGAATGAAAATATTTGTGTGTTCTGTAGGGCCAGTCTCACTTAGAAACTTCTAGGCAGTTTCCCCACAACTAACACCCCAGTGTATAAACCCAAGATGGGAACCTCGGATGTTGAGGTTCACATGGGGTGATTGAGGTGACAGATGGTGGCCGTGACATCTTGTTCACCCTCTTCCTCTCAGGGGAAGGTGGGCCGAGCTGGAGCTGGGGATACCGAGCCCCAAGAACTCCGGTGGGGTTTGAATGCAGATGTCATGGGTCCAAATCCTGGCTCTGAGTGACTTTGGGCAAGAGACTTCGCCTCTCAGTGCCTCAGTTTTCCCATCTGTAAATTGCAAGGAACAGCAGGGCCTACTTTACGGGGTTGGGTGAGGCTTTGGCAGCATGGCTCGTGTATAGGTGCCCAGGCTGTGTCTGGCACTGGGTGAGGATATTGCATTATTATCACCAGTTTTGGATGGTGTGGGTGATAGTCATGAGCTCCCAGAGGAGGAAGACTTTGGACAGGTGGGATTTCAGTAAGATGGGGAGGAGATGGTCAAGGTGAGGGCAGGAACAGCGGAAGGGCCATATGAGTGCAGATGAACCACTTATCCTCTCTAGGCCTCAGTTTCCCCACATGTGACATGAAGGATTGGCCTGAAGGCTGGTGGCTCTGATACCTTGTATCCAAAGATACTGGTTTTGGAGACCTACAGGTAGGGTATCCCACTGTCCAATCCACCTATCACACCCCTCCCAGGAGTGGAATCGTGTAGTCTCCCTATCTTCTGGCTGAAAATTAACATGCCTATTTTGGGAAGCAGAAACAACAGAAGGTGATGTGAGAGATGA